AAAGACTTTTCTGTCCTGCCTGAGGAAAAGCTAGAGAAGACAGAGAGAAAAGAGGAGGGATCTTCTTTTCTGATGAAGCTGTTTTCACCTTTCTGAGAAAATTTTTCAGAAGGTGAGGAATTGTGTTTTCAGAAATGAAGATAAGTCACCTGCAATTTCAGTGACAGTTTGAAGTGGCTCTCAATGTGGCAAAATGCTCAGCACATAGTAGGCACTTAATAAATACTTGACCAACCGACATTTCTCATAGCTAAAACATTGTAAATATTTGTGTTTTAAAGGCAGCAAGGTGGCACAGTGGATAGAGTACCAGACCTAGAGTTAGAAAGACCTGAGTTCAAATCTAGTCTCAAATACTTACTAGCTTTGGTTTGTTTGTTTGTTTGTTTGTTTTGGGGGGGGGAGCAGCTGGGTAGCATAGTAGATAGAGTGCTGGACCTTAAGTCAGGAATACCCATCTCCATGAGTTCAGATTTGGTCTCAGACACTTACTAGCTCTGTGACTCTGGGCAAGTCATTTAACTTCATTTGCCTCAGAGCTGCAGAAGAAAATGGGAAACCACTCTAGTATCTTTGCCAAGAAAATCCTAAATGGGGTCACAATAAGTCAGACATGACTAAAATTACTTAACAGCAACAAAATTTATGTTTTTATGTTATCATTGGTTTCGCTGTTTATAAATTGCTTGCTCAGTAACTTTAATAATTATTTAATTCTAGGAGATGATATTTAATATTTAGGAAAATGTGAGTATGTACTATTGGGGAAGGGATTTTCTCCAATTTATTAAATAAATAATATTTTATCAGTTGGTGGGGGCTCTGTACTTAGTTACTTGAGAGATAATTGAGACATAAGTTGAAATTTTATTAATTAATTAGGAGATATATAGTGATATCCCTAGATTGCCCTAGAGTTTAGGATGATAAGATTGAATGAAGGAATGTATTAAGTAGCAAGCTGAGGAATGGCATGCAAATGAGTAGGTTTTACAACAGATTCCATAATTCTTGCTACACTTGAAATTTTCAGTACCTATCTTTTTACATCCACCAGTTCTCCGATTTTTCTTTACACAAATCCATCAGCACCTATCACCCTATGTCTTTCAGACCTCTTGATGTCCCTTTACATCCTCCAGAGACCATGAGGCTGCCTCTCTTTTGCTTTGTTCAGTACCATTATATTTTTCTCTTAACTTTCCAGGACCTATAGCATATATTGGACCCCAGGAGCAATTGGAAGCCCAGCATCTTCTATCTTCATTTCGTCCCTGAGAAGAGATCCTAAGGACACTAGGAATCCCAGCTCTTTGGTCCTCCTGATTTCTTGGATAATGGAGATTTTCTATTTTATCCCAAGGAAGCACCTGTTTGCCCCATGGTGGATCTTTGTGACAACTTCCCCCAAGATTTCCACTCTCCTACTACCTATTCCAGCACAAGCAGTATCATAGATCCCAAAGATGCAAAGACCCTAGATATCACAACCTTCATTTTCCAGATGAGGAAATGAAATCTCTGAGAGGATAAATGAGGTGCCCAAGGTTATTCCCATCATGAACATAAGATAGAGGTTCTCACCTATTTAGTCTATCATACACTCCTTTTTAAAAAAAAATCATAATTAAAGGAAATTCCAAATTTCAGTTAGAGGTTACTGAAATTAAAGATGTAATTGTTTTCCCATTAAAGTTTACAGACTATGAAATATCTATAGCTCTTAACCTTTCTTTGTGTCATATGCTCCTTTGGCAGTCTGGTGAAACCTATGGATATTATCAGAATAATGGTTTTTTAATCATAAGTGAAGGAAATTCTAAATTTTAGTTTGAGGTTACTGACAACAAAGATGTAATAATTTCCCCCATCCAAGGCCACAAACTCTATGAAATGTATACATGAATCTCTGGCCAAGAACCCTTGATTTAAAAGAATACCCTAAATGACAAAGGGGAGACAGAGATCTTGCATTTCTAGCCTTGCACAAAGAGTGACCAGGTTCTGCCTCTTGGATAACTATTCTTTGGTTCTTCAGAGTTAGGGTCTTGATCTCAATAAGAGTGAGTACTGTGGTCACTCCCTGGGAAACAGGTCAGTTGACAACCACTCTCTATTTACTTTTGTGTTCAGTCTCAAATCTTTCAACTCCTTAGAACAAAGTAGACTGGCTAAAGGCACAAGGCTACTTCCCCTCCCTGGAGAATAGGAAAGCATGAAGCCTGGAAAGTGCCATACATAAGGCTCTTGAGAATTAGTGGTTATGTGTAGGAATTAAAAGGGTTTGTCCATAGAGAGGAAGTTACTCTACAGGGGTATGGTTGTGAATTTCATACTGGCACAGAGACACATGCTGAGTCCCCCAAAGCCAGGGAGCCGACATGAGGGTAACAAAGGGAGGTGTCTGGCTGGCTAAAATGGAAGTTACTGTGGATGTCTTTACCCTTTGTAATGTACTTGTAGAAATAGAGAAGCCTTTTAGGTCCTGGATCTAGGCCTTTTTGGTAGAAGACATAATGTCATCTCCTTGATCCTGGTCACATCTCAAGGTCACTCCCACCCTTGTTCTGTTCCTACAACCAGTAATCTTGGGGTCTGGGAGATTTCATCATCCATTGAGCCTGTGAAGATGGAGAGAGAAGATAGAATACTTATCCTGGGAAGTTATTTGATGCTGAAGTTTTGGGAAAATATTTGAAGCTGAGGCCTGGCCATAATATTCAAGGATTTTTCATTTGTGCCTAGCACTCACCAACAACTAGGAATATTGCTGATGATGTTTCTTCCCCACTCCTCTGTTTAGCATCATCACCATTTCCTCTCAGCTCCCCAGGATGCATGGCTCATACTGGACCCCAGGAGCAATAGAAGGCTATGCATCCTCTATTACTGACCTCTCTTCTTCCTAAAGAAAAGAGATTGAGGACAACAGTCCCCAAACTTCTTAGTGTTTCACTACTCCCTTTCTATAGAAGAATGGTGAATTTTCTGTATTATTCCAGGGAAGCATCAGTTGGCCCTCTGGTGGAGCACTATTACAATTTCACCAAGGCTTACTAGGACTACTCAGGCTATTCTAGGCAGTATTATAGAACCCTGAAATGCTGAAAAGGGGTGTTAATTACACATGTTTATTTTTAATCACTACAATTAAGGTGATACTTATCTAGAAGTGGTCTAATCATTGCTTGACATGAAAAACCAATAGCATTATTTTTCTAATCATTGATTCAGTGATTTGGAAAACTTCCACTGGGAATCCTTAGACTCACACTTAAGATTGCAGACAAAGTCTTTATCACATAAATTTTTTTTCTGTTGATTCAACAAAATAAGATAATTTGCCACTTGGGGTAATTATTTTCCTACTCTTCTAATCACTGAATATAATGGATGAATTGGCTAAAAAGTATGCTGTCCTTCCTTCATGCCACTTTTACCAATACATACATACATGCATGCATACATACATTATATATGTATATATATATATATATATTATAGTCAATTATGGTTGAGACATGAACCAAGTAGGGAAAAGATGGCTAAACTTGAAATGATTGCCAAAAAGTTCTCTCTAGTTACATAAGTAGAAAATTGAAAAAAAATTAATTCTTAAAGACTAAGAGGAAAGTACCCTAGGAATTACTCTCCACATTTTCCAGGAGAAAAAAAATAAGGCTCCAAAAGGTTAAATGAGTTGCCCAAGGTTGTTCTCTTTATGGGTATAAGTAAATGTTCTGAATGATTCAAAGAACCCAGAGACCTTGCACCTCCAACATTCCATGAAAAGTGACCAAGTTCTGTCCTTTGTATTACCATTATATGCTCCAAACCTCAAATGACAGTGAAGGTAGTGACTATATTCTTACAAGTCCCTGTTCACCCAAGCTACATTAACCAATCTCTCTGCCTCTTTCTGCCTATCTCTCTGGAGCACAGAGATTAATCATGAAATCATAGAGTTAGAGATGGAAAGGACCTTTGAGGTCATCTGATCCAACCTTTCTCATTTTGATGAAATGGAGGCTCAGAGAAATAAGTGACTTGCTCAAGGTCATATAAGCAGTCAGTGGCAGAGCCAAGATTTGAATCCAGTTCCTTTGACTCCAAACCTAGTATTCTTTCCATTGTACCAGAATGCCTCTCTGCCCCCCAAAAAATCTGTCTTTAAATGTATATGACACATTAAGAGACTTGCTAAGGGTCACATAGTTAGCAGTTGTGGGATTGAGATGGGATTGCAATCCAGATCTTCTTGCCTCCAAGAACAAAACTTTAAATGTATAGGCTGTATTTGATTTTTTTTAAATAAAAATTATTGCCTTTCTTGTGCTGTGGGTGACTACCCTTGTGTATTTCACTGAAATTGACGAGTCCTGATGTCTCCAGTTTCTCTTCTCCTCTGTATCTTCCTATAGCAGGGATAACAAGGGTAGGTTTCAATCTGCATGGTTGGAAGAAGGACTCACCTGGGTGAAATCACAGCTCCACTGGGGAGCAAAGATGCAAAGATGGAGAACTGACATGAACTTATTTTTGTTGCTCCCATGTGCCATGGAATCCGGGATTGGTTTCTGTGTCCAGGGCTTGCTTAACCCCTGTGCCTCCTCATGTGATGCTCCACCTCAAGGATTCTTAACCTTGCATGTGAATGTATGTGTGTGTGAGTGTGTGTGTGTGTGTGTGTGTGTGTGTGTGTGTGTGTGTGTGTG